CCAAGGATGATGTTCTTAGTGTCACGAGAAGGAACATCGCAACGTTTTAACACTACATTCCTTATTCAGTTCCATAGATTGTTTTCAAGAAGAATCTATAATAGTATTTTAGATCTTGCCTTATAAAACTAACGTATTATATCTATTTATCAGTTTTGTGTGAGACATGAATAAACAGTAATCAGGGAAAAGTTGGACAAAATAAATCCTGCGTTTTTCTGGAATAAATGGTCGTTTTTTGTTTTCGTCTTTTGTTTATTTTACAAACTATAAACTCCGAAAATGAATGTAAGTATTGTTGTAAAAGTGTAGTAACGGAAAATTAACTCCGAAAATGAATGTAAGTATTGTTGTAAAAGTGTAGTAACGGAAAATTTTACACTACTATGATCAAAAACGTCAGGGAGAAGACATTTAAAAAAAATAATTAAGATAATATATGTATGCATTATACATATACATATATTCTGTGATTTTCTTTAACATGTACGTGATTTTACAAATAGGTGAACATGTAAAATTATATAAAGGTATGGACCTACAATTACAAACTTGTTTCTATACCGGCCACTATCAGTGAGATCAACATGTATTATATTTAATAATTTCATGTTTTTACCGTTACCACACTCAGTGTAAAAACTTTGCCACAAATATTTGGTAAAATCATTCATTTTCTTTGCTAAACACAGAAATTAGTGGTATTAATTGCAATACTGGTGGTAATTTGTTGTTGAAAATCTTATATTTCATGACTCATTTGTTATGAAGAACCTTGTAAGCAGCAAAGTTATATGAACCCATAAGCAATTTGGTGCATAAGTAATTAAGAAAAATTACTTTTATACCAATAGGGTTAAATAGTGCAAATATATATTTGATGGGGGGAAAAATCTCGTTAAGAAAAACATTAGATTTCAATTAAGGAATAAATTAAATCTTGATAAACACACACGCATATTACAAAAAAGAACTGAGTGAACTCTATCAGATACTACCCTCGATCTGTGAACTCTAACAGATACTACCCTCGATTTGTGAACTCTATCAGATACTACCCTCGATCTCAATCTTTCCTCTGATTGCTGAGGCTTCGGTGTAATTACGTTGTTTGTATTTCAGCCACAAATAGACACAGCGTATCGGGTGTGAAATGTCGGGTTTGTTAAGCTAGTGTTCTGCTGGGGCGTTTCTCGGTTTTCTCGTTCATTCTGTGCTTGCATTTGTTCATTTGCTGGAGTGCGAAAGTTACTTTAATATGTTTCCCTGTGTATATTTTACGACACACACACACAGTGAGCATCTTAATAGACAAACCATGCTGTTTTCCAGAAAACATTCACCGACACATCTAAAAATGATCAAAGACTATTTTATAACCTACTTTTCTCTGAATTTTACTTCATCACAGATACATATGGAATAACAAATATCATTGTAAATAGTATGTCTGCTTTTTTTCCACATGGTGTTCAAAATTACAGTTCTGGTCACTTCTTAAAACAAAGTCTAAAGATTCTAGAGAATAAAAATCTAAGTTATTTAGTGACTTCATTATTATAATAGCTTACTTCCTTCTGATTTTCCCGATTATTGGTATGATCTGGATGGTGCGAGACATAGTGTAAGATAATTTCTCTGCCAGGTTTCTTAGACGCTCAGTTTTCTACCTTTGGACAACTATATTTTCCACTGTGTTCTACTCTAAACTTCATTATTGGGAGGTGTTGGAATTATGAAGCAAGCCGAGTTTCAGTACCTTCCATAGTCACTTCAAGCAGCTGAGTTTCATTACCTCCCATGGTCACTTCAAGCAGCTGAGTTTCAGTACCTTCCATGGTCACTTCAAGCAGCTGAATTTCAGTATCTTCCAACTGAAACTCAGCTGCTTGAAGTGACCAACCTCCCATGGTCACTTCAAGCAGTTGAGTTTCAGTACCTTCCATGGTCACTTCAAGCAGCTAAGTTTCAGTACCTCCCATGGTCACTTCAAGCAGATGAGTTTCAGTACCTCCCATGATCACTTCAGGCAGCTGAGTTTCAGTACCTCCCTTGGTCACTTCAGGCAGCTGAGTTTCAGTACCTCCCTTGGTCACTTCAAGCAGCTGAGTTTCAGTACCTTCCATGATCACTTCAAGCTAAACAGCTTCTGACCACCTATATCCTTAAACGAATTCGAAGTTCCGGGGTCATGTAGGCGTTGTTGGCCAGTTTTCTTACCATAAAACATCAGACTGAAAAGGACGCACGAATGTGTCGAAACTAGTTATTCTAAGTTCAAGTCTTCTGATAGTTTAATAACACTACCAACAGATTAATTGGACGGGACTCGAAGTTTAATGGTTAACAGTAGAACGAATATACAAGATGGAATATGTATATTGCGAAACGTTCAAGAATTAAATGTTTGTTACTCTATACACACATATATCAAATGTTCGTTGTTGCTGCGGTCGTTCTACTGTTCATCATTAAACTTCTGATAGGTTGTTCAATTTACAATGGTTTTTCCCAAACAGCTTTCACCTCCTGCCACCCTCCAGTGGTCCTATGGTCTCATAACGACAAAAACCGGGTTTCCATTCCCGTGGTGGGCATAGCATAGATAGCCCATTGAATAGCTTTATGCTTAACTACAAACCAAAAAATAACCTGTTTCACAATTGATATTGTGTTCTTTTATTACTGTATAGACTACTTTTTTTTTAGTCCGATGAGTAAAAAAAAAACAGATGCCACATTTCCTTATACATGCAACTCTCCTAATTCTTTTAAGTATAGCCGAGCACCATCAGTTACATTTAATAATATATAAAATCGAAACTTGTGAAATATGTAAAATAAATATTTGTTGTATCTTCTGTAGAGAAAGGTTGCTTGGAAACAAAATGTTTAAAATACTCCGGTCTGAAACGAGAAAATAAAAATTTTGATTAAATAATACCAGTTCACTGGTATAACAAGAAAACAAAAATAAGATCACCATGCTTTTACTGCTAAAAAAAAAGAAAGAAAAAATCTTGGTTTATTCAAAGTAAAGCTTTCCTTTATCGTTTGCCAAAAAAATTTTTTAAATATTTATTTTTGTATTTTAATGACATATATAATAACTTCACACTAAATTGACATCGATTTTTTTTGTATTATAAAACATATATTGAAAAAAAATCCCTAGGCCTAGCCGATTTGATTTTATATTATTTTTTAGAAGTTTTTTGCTATGTCACCATAATTTATACGGCGTAGAAATATTATTCGTAAACTGAAGTTGTTGTTTTTTTAGTTCGTCAGTGTTCGTGTATTATGCAAGTTTTATACATTATATTCATAGCTCGCTCTTCTATGCACCTGGAATATTTGGAACAAAGTCCTGAATCTACGGACGACTCAATGTCTCATAATCAGTTCGATGGTTTAAGCAGGAATAAAACACTTTGTCAGTAAGACATGGAAATAACTATGAATATGACTTCCTTGGAGGTTACGCAAAAAAGAAGTAAAGAAACCTGATAACCGAGAAGTTTTTGTAACCGATATCACTGTAGCGTTGAAAGCCCATATTTGACTATCATTAATATATGGGGAATTCTAATCTCAATCTAGCGTTTTGGATGAGGCCTGTATTTTTCTTTTGACACTTACTAACAGACATTTATACACGATGAAATTCGTAAATAGTTTATTTTCATGGAGTTCGGGATTACTGAATTGAATTAAAAAATTAATGGACATGAATGTGATGATTAAACCAATTAATTGTCTGCATGTATTTTTTTTTCATTAATATTTAATGATGAAGAACAGCATATATTTGTTCACGTGAGCTGACAATAAATTATATTGTTGACTTATTTAATGATGAAGAACAGCATGTATTTGTTCACGTGAGCTGACAATAAATTATATTGTTGACTTATTTAATGATGAAGAACAGCATGTATTTGTTCACGTGAGCTGACAATAAATTATATTGTTGACTTATTTAATGATGAAGAACAG